TCTATGTATATATATACATATATAAAACTGTCTCTTTTCCAAAAAACAAACCATTTCCTTATTGTGATATTGTTGCTGACACAAAAAGACATTATCTGTAGTTACATTAAGTGCAGTTGAATAAACAAAACAGATGGAAAAGGCTTTTTTACTGTACAAAATTAAAATTACAGTAAAAGTCATATGAATATTTTCCCCCAGACATAACCACTTTGTAAGTTTGTGTAAAGCGTGCAGTTTATTCTGAAATGAAACATCTCACTGCTACATATTCATGTTCTTCTATTTAGGACAGAATATTATGTATTTCATCAAGCATAATGACTGATTCAATCATCGGAGTTAACCTTGGGGGGGTGATGTTATTGTGTGTGTGTGTGTGTTTGCAGAACGACGACGCGGCAGAGTAAAAACCGGCTCATCGTTCAGCTCGACTCGTCTGCGGAGCAGCACTGTGCTCTACCACATCTCTGGTCACCTCCACAGCAGAGAGAAGAGCAAGATTAAACTCAACAAGGTATCCTCACATACTTTCAGCAACGGGGGGTGGGGATGGGGGGGCTTTTCTGTACAGAAATTTTACCTCAAATAAATATAAAATACATAGATGCAGTTCACTAACTCTAATCTTATTTTGTAGAAAGGATTTCTTGGATTTGTTGAGGTGGTATTTTATGAAGCAATTATGAGCAGTCAGTATCTTACCTGCAGTGGACAGAAGTCAGAATGATGTTAAAAGGAAAAGTTAGTGAGGCGTTCTCATGACTGATTAAAGTTAATGACTTGTAAGACTGGCGCCCAATCAAGAATAAACTTCTGCCACCTAAACTAACTCAAACTGTCATAATTTAATGTGCAAGGGGATCCCATGTCATAAATGTATTTGTGGTAAACTGGATACTGTCAGGATCTGGTTTATTATTGATAGACTTGTGTGTTTATTGTTGGTTTTATTTTATTTTGGTTATTACGTATGTTTTTAAGTGTTTTATTCTGTTTCTCTGCCACTTCTCATTCAGTCAGTTTAGCTCCTTTAGCTCTTGCCCCTCCCACTTTCACCTGTTCCTTGTGTCATTTTGCCCAAGTGTCTCCACTCTGTTCATCAGCATCTGTAATGCTAAAGTTAAAGCTGAAACAAGTCCATGAAAACAGAAAATACTTTTTTCCTACAATAATCCTAATAAATAAAAATACAGTAAGTGTACTTCAAATAACTTTTCCTGGGGTTGACTTTTGCTGGTTACAAATGTTTTATTTTGAAGCTGTGTTCAAATAGTAATTTATCTAATACATTTTTCTTTAATTAGTTATGTGATACCTAAAAATACCATGATTGTGTTCAGGTGACCCAGCCCCACATCCCAAAATACACAGACATTAGCTCCGACACACAACAAGGTGGTGCCCATAAATGAGGTATTATGACTTCATATTTGGACAATAAAAGCAGGTGGATACATTTGTCTTTTTTTTTTACTAGTCTTTGATTTAATTTTGTTAGACTGTTGAAAAAATTCTGAATAAGTGCTGCAGAGTAGAGTTAGTTTGAATGACTACAATTTGATATACAGTAGTCCCTCGCTACTTTGCGGTTTGTTTTTTGCAGACGCGCTCTATCGTGTTCTTTTCTAAATAAAATTGGACATGACACATAATTGGCTGATTGATGGATGAGCCGCACGATCGACATGGAATTTTTATTTAAAATAAATTATTTTAAATTATTTAGCACCTCCTGCACCTTTGGGCAGCCCTGCTTCCTCCTGCAGCTGATCAGCTGATCTCTGTGCAGAGCAGAGAAGTGGGCGTAGCCAAGAACACTTGCAGGTGGCTGAGAGCAGCCAGAGGCAGAGAGAAGGAAATCATGACATTATGTGCTCTATTAGAGCGCTTAGAGTTTAGAAACATTTTTTAGAATATTGCAAGAGCGTGGGCAGGGTTTAAAACACCTT